GTGTGTGTGTGTGTGTGTGTGTGTGTGTGTGTGTGTGTGTGTGTGTGTGTGTGTGTGTTTGTGTGTGTGTGAGAGAGAGAGAAGAAAGAGAGGGGGGAGAAAGAGAGAATGAGAGAGAGAATTTATTAAGTGCTTTCTATATAGAAACAATTGTTAAAAAACATTAGGGGTATAAATTCAAGCAAGCAAGACAGTCCCTGCCCTCCAAGAGTTTACATTCTGAGGGAAGGGAAGACAATAAACAAAGGAGAGCATAAAGTGAGAAAGGGGAAGGGAGGAAGGTTGAACAATGCATAGGTGCCGAGAAGTGCAGTGAAGACCTGATTAACTAGGTAAAATCTCACCTATCAGACCCAGGGACAGAGTCCAAGGTTGTGAAGAGAAGATGAGGGTGGCCAGGGTACATGCATCATGGTGAGGTGAACCGATGTTGGAGTCAGAGGACATAGATTAGATAGATACCTAGCCTTGACACTTACTAACTGTATAAACTTTGAAAGGTCACTCAATCTGAACTTCAGTTTCTCTTATCTATAAAATGGGAGCAATGATACATTCCTCATAAGGTCATTGAAAGAATTATGCTTTGTAAACCTAAATCGCTACAGAAATGTGAGCTATTCTTAGGGACCCGGAGAAGGACAAGACCATGATTTTACTGATATAGGGAAATCCCAGTTGAAGTAACTTTCTCCATGTTGAACTACATTATTTGTTTTCCTGTTTCCCTCACTGCCCCCAGCACAGCGCTTTGTTAGTAAACACTCAATAAATATTTGTTAATTGATTCCAAAGGCCAAGATCCAAAATGAGGAAAGAAGAGGAATTTTTCAAACCCTGCAGAGTCTGGTTAGATCACGCCCTTGGCCATAAACAAATCCAGACAAACAGTCCCAAGCCTCATTCACACCCTTTCCCCAAGGCGGGTATCTTACTTGTAAAAGCCTAATTGAAAAGAGTTTATGTTCAGGGTGTCCATGATTGGCTGCGGCCACTCTCCCCCCTTCTTTAGGAAAAAAACTGAGTAAGATACTCTTTTTTTTTTTTTTTCAAAAGAATTACCTCATATTTGCACTGTGCCTTTAGCTCTTCCCTGATATTACCCTAGTTTGGTTTTTTTTTGACAATCACGTGAAACAGAAACAGTATTTTTAGCCTCCTTCTCTAGACAAGAAAATGGAGAAATAGGTGAAATGTCTTGCTAACAGTCCTAAAGCTCCTCAGTATCTATCTCTTCCAAAAGATGGGCTTTCTTTCTCAGCCCCACTAAAGCAAAGGGTTCCAGGTGATTTTAATGAAAGCCCAACACCACCTCCTCCATGAAGCATTTCCTTATCACCCCCCTCCCCCAGTCTCCTCTGAGATATCACATTATTGAGGCAGCTTTGCATCGTGGATAGAAAGC